TATTAGAGCACGATATAAAACTTAAAATAACCTCCCTGAGACATAAGAAAACTAAAGCTTACAAGAACAAAGCCTTTAGAATCAAAATCCAAAATTTATCTCTTCCAAAAACTCAGAAAACCAAGAGGGAAGGAAGATGATGGAAGTAGGGAGCTTATGTATCATGTAATTGAGCTCGCAACAGCCATAAAGTTTCTCGAATTTGAACTCTACCTTCCCTCTCTTCATTCCTCTCTCACTCCCTCGTCTATTCTCTCTCTCTCTCTCTCTCTCTCTCTCTCTTTGTTCTTTTCCTTCTATGTTTCATTTCTGTTTCAACGTTCAGTCTCTCTGTTTTTTTTCAAAAATGAACTAAGCAATTTAGAAAAAATTACAATAAAGGGCCCAAATCTTTTGTTATAACCCAAAAGCTCGGGGCAATTTTGGTAATTTTTCATAATTAAAAATAAAATAAAACCAAATTTTTGCTTAGTAAAATTTAAACTCTGAACCTCTATGAAATTATTCTTAATTTTAATTTAATTATAAATATTATATTTGAAATTAAATTCAGGTCTTAAAGTTTTTGAGATGTTACATTTTGTCTTTTGACACTTAATAATGATAAACTTAAATGTTAATAGCTTTCTAGTCAAAATACCATTAATTCTATGTAATTTAGAGTTGAAACATATTCATTTGAGTGATAATGTTAACATGGAGTACATCAATATTAAAATATAAAGTCTCCAATTCAGTTGTTTCTCTAAATTGTGAATAAGAAGTGAAAAATTGAAAAAAAATATAAAACTTTAATCCCTATAGTTTTATCTAAGAATCAGTCCCTAAAGCAACTAATGAATTATGATTCTATTTATCTCTGTTTTAAAAGCTAAAAACAGTGATAAACATAAACGGCTATACACAATGCCCAATTTTATTTATTTATATTTAAGGTGTTCGGCATAGGCGCAAGAGAAAGAGACTTTGATTTTCGTTATAGATAACCAATAATTAAGTTTTTACTAAGCATTAATGTTAATTATATATCTTCATTAAAAATTTATGGCCACATATACTCTGCCACAACTACTTTCTCACTTCATCTCTCCTTTTCTCTCAACCATATCATTTCTTGCTTAGCCATTTCCATGGGCACGGTTTGATTGATAACTTCATTTTCCAGTTGTCATTATGAAGTATACAAATCCTTTTATTTGTTCATAGGAGTTTTGCACTTCTATTAAAAGAATAGAGAAATCCAATCATAGATGACATATGTATTAGGTTTGTTTGCTCCCTTTTACCCTTTATTTGTGATTTTTTTAAATTTAATAGAATTTGAAGTGGTAAAATAATAATACATTAGACCTCTAAAATAATTTCTCCTTAGGCCCCAAAACTCCTTCAGATGTCCTTGTCTTTGAGTGTTTGTTTTGAAGGTTGTAGAGGACTGAAACAAGAGCCAGCTCCTAGTATAATAGGTGAAATTGGATGGCCCAATCTGTCTAGAGAACCAAGGATTTTCTTGTGGCTATGTCATCATTAGTTGCTATTGTTATCAAATATGTCAAAATTAGAGCCCTTGGATTGGAATTTTAATTCTATCCATGGATCTATTTCACTTGAAATTGGAAGGCTTCAATGTTTAAAGATTTTATGTTTAGCAAGGAACAATGTTTCAAGAAAAATACCTACAGCTATTTCTAGCTTATCCTCACTTGAATGGACGTGTCTTTAATAATATCAGATATATCCATATAATTTTTTGTAAATCATTTCCAAAAATTTAATATATGTTAGAATGTCTTAGAATAAGCTATTTACAATATTTTATTCAACATTCATTTTGTTGGAGAGGGGAATGGGAAGTTTGGTTTCGCTTCAGGAGTTATATCTTGGTTCCAATAATTTACAAGGCATAATTTTATGTAAATTATAATTCACCATAGATTATTTCTTTTTTCTTACTTCTTGCCTCTTGCAACTTGAAATTACGAACTTAGATACTAATAGGTTTCGTCAAAATGTTATTAATTTTATATCCCAAAATGGATAAGTCTAGAATAAACTTTTTTTTCTGACAAAGCAAAATTGGATTATATTTTTATACATAATTTGTAATATTTTATAATGTCATTGAGAACTCAACTTGTTACAAAGATTTCAAATATAAAAGAGGATAATTTTAGTTAGGTCTCCTGTCAGTAAGCTTTCATTAAATTTCAAAGGACTTTTTTTTCCCAACTGCTGATATATTCCTAAGGCAAATAAACCAGTAGAATACAACTGAAACCGCAAACAGCATCAACATCAAAGCAACAAAACAAGGAAAGCAACAAATCAAAAACAGAATTAGCAACAACATAAGAGAGATCAGCCAAATAATTTTAACTAGTAGATGAGACAAAGGAAGTGATAGTGAAGACACCCATCCTATTAGAACCAGCAACAGTATACTTGATTTTTAATTTATTAAATCCAATTTTAATAGAGGAATGGTATTTTATTAAAAAAGATGACTAGTTTTGTAAGTTTTAATTTAAAATTTTATAAAAATTTATTGGGATTTAAATGCAAATTTTATAATTTAAATTTAATTTAAAAATTAAATAAAAATAATTTTAACTAAATATTGGCCCGTGTCTCTTTTTCAACTTTCCCACCCTAATATCTCTTCAAATACAAACAAAAATGGGACTGTGCATTAGGTAATAGAAGCATAAGCCCATCACCAAATCTATCATTCATAGATGTAACTTTTAAACATATATATCAACACTTGTAGTATTGTACTTTTTATTTTGTTATATTGATGCACACACATAATTATATAAAAAGTTAATTTATAACTTTTGAAATTTTATTGATAATTCTGTCATCACAATTGTAGTCTTACCTTTTCTTTTTTTTTTAAGGGTTCTACCTACTATAATCCCCATAAATCTCAACTATATAATATATTTAGATTAAATTTTTAAAGTATATCATATTTTATAATTAAATTTTTGGTTGAATATTTATATTAAATATTTTAAAGTATATCACATTTTTACATATCCAAACTATTTACTCTTTTTGTTGTTTTCACTTAGTTAATTATAAGAATTTTAAAAGATAAAGGGCCTGTTTGTTTCAGCTTATTTTATGAAAAAAATCACTTTTTTGAAAAAATTATTTTTGATTTTAATGATGTTTGTTTAAATTTTGAAAATAATTAGAATAGAAAAGAAATTTTTTGATTATTTTAAGAAACTACTTTGAGAGAGAATGTTTTAAAAATGTAGGAGCAAGAAGATATACTTAGATTTTAAATAATTAAATAATGAATTATTTTTATAAAACAGAAATAAAGAAAAATATTATAAAATTTAAAAATAACTAGCTAATAATTACTTTTTTATTATTGTAACCAAACATAAAATAATGTATACTTTTTATAAAATCCCTGAATTATCTAATAGTGACTTATTTTTTAATCTTTAACAAATGGATCCAAAAATACAAAGAATACATAATGTTAGTATGTAAACAGAAAGTAAAATCTGGGTGGATCCAACGTCTAATTCAATGTTGGTTTATCCAATTTTGTTACTTATCAATCACAGTCAATTTTTCTTTTATTGGCTATAAACATCATTAGAATTTTAATTAAGAGGAATAAGCGGGTAAGAAATCAATTTCTGATTGGGCTTTTATAGAATAATTAGAGTGGCAGCATGGCATATATTGGGCTTTATTTGAACAAAAATTAATCTTTGGTATAAAATACCAAAAGAACAAGTTCAAGCTATATCATATATGGATCCGCCACTGAAAAAAATCAAACATACGATGACTGATCTTAAAATGTGTAATTAATTTATCCAACTGACAGCATTTCACTTGCATGAATTTTATAGATGGCATAAAAAAAAACAATTTCTAAAGATAACCAAATTATTAAGCTATCTCCGTTATTCTGAATTGGGGCTGAAATGAGAATCAAAGGTGGACGAGATATTTTTTAAAAACATATATAGATATATAAATAAACTGTGGTATATATTTGAATTTCCATTTTTAAGTTTTATTGTATATATTTTAAAAGAAATTTAATAATTTTATGATTGGAGAGAAATGTTATCAGATAACTGATGGTGTATAATAATATAAAACTTAGAAATACCTTGTTGTTGGGTGATTTGTAAGTAATTTTTGAGGGAGGCTTGTCCTAGCCTTAGTGAGCCCCCAAACCCAACTCACCTAAACTTTTTGAAAGCAAATATAAAAATTATAAATACAAATATATAAGCATATTAACAACACATTAACTTTGGAAAATGACAATAAAATCCCATCAAAATGTAAAAATGACAATCAAGTTTCTAAAAATGCCATAATTCTTTGAAGTCTCTAGGTATCTTTATGGCATTAATGATTTCTGGTTAGCTATGAAAATAATCAACAACTTAAAAATCTATATATATGTTTGTATCATTTTTTTAAATGGTTTTCTTTGCATTGTCCGATGTGACAATATTTCTTAATTTTTTTCTTCATCATATAAAAGGAGATATTTATAATGAAATTTTGGTGTTCAGAAATTATAAAAATATGAGCTTAGATGTACTATATAAAAATATGGCTACTGTAATGTACTCCCTCCATTTCTTTTTGTATGAGAAAAAATTGTATCACACAATGTAAAAAAAATCAGTTAACTATATTAATTGTGTCTGAAAATAAAAAAATTTGACTGTAATACCCTTTATTATTGTGTTAATCAAGCATTTATTAATTGTTTTTATGACTATGAATGATAAAATTATAAGGGATAATTTAAGAAGTTTGCAATAAATATCTATTGAAAAATGTGATTTTACTTGTATAAAAAAATAAAATGAAAGTAATAGTTTCTCTTAAAAATGAAAACGGAGAGAGAAGGTGGTGCAGTGGACATAGTCTCTGTTTAAATTATTTTAATCACATCAATTAAACTTGCAAGTTCTTATTGGCCATAGCTGTTGTCCTATTAAAACCAAGGAAAGGAAACACAGGAGACAGTGCTGTTCTCCTGCGGTAGCAACTCGGCATGGTACAGTGCGCTAGAGAAATTGGTGGGGAGCAGTTTGTTTGTTTCGCTGCTGGTCGCTTTAGATTGATATGTTGAAAGCCCATTGTGACCGCGGAAATTGGAGAAAGCCCATTAAATGGGATAATATCATTTTGTGCCCCATTGTCTTCATTAGAAATATCCCCTTCGTAGGTCAGATTCACGTTTTCTTCATATGGCATTTCAGCAAAATAGTTTTTTGGGAATTCGTTTGTAGGCCCATTTCCTTACCTGTCACTTCCTCCATAACTTCAACAATTATTGGGGCCTTATTCCCAACAAGTCCACTAGGAGCCTTACTATGAGATCCACCACCCTTCCCCTCACATGATTCATTATCTAAAAAATCCCCCTTCTCCTTCATATCCCCACTGCTTTGCATCCGCTCACTATTTCACCTATTTTGCTCATAATTTACAAGAAAATTTTTGCCCTTTCATTTCTCTTCTCATTCACAACGTCGCCCCCATTTTCCACTTTAGATCTACCATTTCCGCCATAACTTCCTTTCTTTGCATACCCAGCACTCTTCTTCCCTACACTCCTACAATGGTGGTTCGTTTCTGGTGGTGTTTCATCCCCTTTGCTAGTACTTCTGGCCACCCTTCACAGCATACCTCCACTGCATCATCCATAGTCCTCACATTAGTTGTACTTAGCCGGTGCTCAAACTCTTCTTTAGCTGACCCATCCTCGACAGTATCCTCTACAAATCCACATCCTTTTGCATTGTGACCAAAATGCCCACACTGGTAACAGAATGATTGCAGCCTCTCATACTTTACCGTCATCCATATTGGGTCTCATCCAGGTCAAGGAGTCCAAAACCCAGGCACTAATCGTTGAGCAATATTAATAAGAACTCTAACATGGATAAAAGTTCTTGTAAGGCCTTTTCCCATCATCAAATTTTCTATTATGACCATTGACCACCTCCCCCACTGCATTGCCCAAGGTAATGGCATTTTTTCGATTTACAGCCTCTAATGGTAAGCCATGGAATTGCGCCTAAAAAGGACACAATGAAAAATGAACTTCTTTATACACCATGAAATCTTCACATAACTGTAAACTAAGCAGATGTCCCTGAATCGACTATGGGTGACCTTTAAGAATTTTGGTATAGTCCTCCATACGATCAAACCAGAATAGAAACGATGTGCAGTCTTATCAACATCATGAATTTTGACCTTCTTCTCCACATTCCATCCCTTTTTTATCATGGAGACAATCATCCCCATATTCAAATGTTTTTTAGTAATAATTTTTCCAACCAAAGCCTTCCTTGTTTCTGTCTTTTTTTGCTTCAAATCCAGTACCACCTCTTTTCCTTTTCTCTTTCCCCTGCTACTCTATCCAACCTCCATGCCTCCTCACCCAAACCACCACACACACACACACATAAACACACTAGTACATAACACACCCACACGGATTCACTGGTCCCTTGAAGAAATTGAACAATGCATAGAAAATCTCGCTGCTAGAAGATTACTTTAAGGATCTCACCAAGCCCTCATGAAATAGAGAGAGAGGAATTGCCACAGCAGAGAGAGAATAACTCACACAGCGGAGAAAGAATAAAACACAATAGTAACACTTTACAAACACACCTTTTTAAAACAAAACTATAAACTTTCGAAAATATCCCTATGCATTTAATCATTATGCTACAATATCATTTTAATTCTCTCTCTACTTATAAGGTAACATTAGAAAAGTATCATTAATAAAACTTTATTTTTCTCAAATTGTTTTATATTTTGGAACACAAAATTCCTCCAAAGTTGTCTTATAATTTGAAAAGGAGGGAGTATCTTTAATAAATTTCAATACAAAACAACATAGTTTTTTCACTTTTTGAAAGTATTGTCTATCTCCATTTCCAACAGACAATTTTGTTAGTTTTTTTTTTTTATGTATTGTCAATATAACTACCTGTTTTTCATTTTTTTTAAAGTGCTACTCTTTTTTTTTTATCACATCTTACCATGCAGTAACAGGACTAAAATGAGTGTTTTTTTTTTCATGTACCATGCGCATTGCAAGAAATTATTTGCATGAATGAGAAAGATACATTTTTCAATTTCTTTCTAGAAATATATTTTTTACCTACCAAATCATTACATTTATTTCCAAGAAGAAAATATATGTGTAAGAATAATGCCTTGACTATCATTCGATTAACTGTTGCTGATGCAAATCAAACAAGGAAAATCACATTCAGCCTCCTCCTAAGAAAATTAATCACAGATAAAAACCAATCCGGAATGGGTTGTTGTTAAATTTGGAAGATGACTTTTTTTTTCCTCGAATAGGACTTGTTGTTGGTCCTTATATTTGATTAATTCTGTTGAAAGGGGGCTGGATATAATTCTCCATCAAAACATGCCTCAAGAAAGTTTTTACATGTTTGGAAAATCACTTTTTTTAAAAAAAATTATAGGAATAATAGTGTGGTAAAGCTATGTCAAAAAAATTTTCTCTCATATTTTAGTTAAATTCATTTCTAATTTTTTATTGCTTCAAACAAAATGACAATGTTTGTTAACTTTAAATATATATATATATGATTATATTTTTAACTTACATGACATTAAAAACTTATATGTTGATTCAATTAACTCCACAAACTTAAATTGGGATAGGGGTGGGGGAACTTATCTCATATAGTTATATATTGTATCATCTTAACATGTTGCTTGTAGCTTTAAAATTACAAAATCTATATTGTATCTACAAACTTTACATCTAACTGTCACCGCCAATGTGACAGAGGTGCCCAATAGAGCCTCAAACATGATAACCTCCAATAGAAGTGTACCTGTGGGAAACCAAAAAAATAAAAGATAAATTTTAAATAAAATAAATATAAATTTTAGGAATGAATTAGAGGAACTAAAAACAAAATAAGATTGTACAAAGTAGAAACTTAAAGCGGTTCCAATGGCCTTGTAGCCTAGTGGTAAGTCAGCTTTTCTGTTAGTGGGAGGTGGCAGATTCAATCTAGCTTGTAACCTCAAGCTATTAGTGTCCAGCCTTGTAAGTTAGAAAAACTTAAAGTGGTATTTTACCAATAATATATGAAAAAGAGAAGCCATGAATATGAAGGAATGGGCAGGCGAGGCATACCAACACACCTCAAAAGGGCAGAGAGAAAAGCTAATGAAGAGCCATCCTTTTCTAATAAGTACAATTTACCATCAAATTTTGTTTTCTAATCTCATGAATAACATTGACTTTTTAGTCGAAATACAATTAATTAATATATTAGAGTTGAAATATACTTATTGAGTAACAATATTAAATTTGCCGTTATCTCACTTGTTCCATTTATGGTAAATGAGTATTAAAAAAATAGAAAATATATAACTCCTTTTACCAATTTAAAATTTAATACAGCAATAAACACTATCATTATATATCAGTGTAGTGCATAAAACTTTGTTTCTATATTATCATTTTGTATGAGATTAATTATTTAGTTCACGTTCTGTCTATATAACAGCAAAAAGTGCAGAGTGTTACAACCACATTTTTTCCCCTTTTCACATGGTTTATTGGATATCATCGCAAACAATTTTGATAAATCTACTAGTTATTACATTATGAATTCATGTCTTTAGTTATTGTTAAATTTAATGACACTGGTGGTTGCATGTGATGTCTTCTCTCATGGAGCATCTAAGTTCATTTTTCTTCAAATTATGATGCTTTAACTAGCAACTTTTAATTTTCACTTTCACTTTCACCTTTTTTTATTATAAGTTTTTTGTATTCCTGAAATTTCTTGTTTCAATAATTATTTATGAAGAAAAAAGAAGTCTTTAGTCTTTTTCAAACATATATAGTGTTGCTAGCTACAGCACGTCTTCTCATCTGGGAAGCCGATGTGGCAAATTTTTAGGATTTCTATTTTTGTGTTGAAGTGTCAAAAATTTTTGATTTTAATTAACATTGAAAATTTATCTATACTTCTAACAACTCCTTATGCATTACTTTCACATTTTTCAGAAAACAATTACATTGCTTTTATACGATTTTGTTCCTTTCATCTGGAATTTATGAACCATGCACAATAAATATTCTTGAAGACTATCAATTTGTCAAAGTTAAATACTTTGTGTCAAACAAATATATTATATTGATTGATTTGCTAAAAGTTATAATATTATTATAGATGATTGCTCCGGAATATTGTCCCCTCAACCTCAAACCTATAGAAGCCAAATTTCTTCCCATATAGGTAGAAACATTGTAGGAGAAACTCTAAAAAATAATCATCTTACAAACGTGAAAATTATATACTTAATTTATATATCTTTAATTTATCTAGACTCAGCATCAAAGATATTATAAATGCATATTATGATATATTTCTCTTATCAAACAAATATATCATGACGTGTTACTGTAATATTGTTCGAAGAATTTCAATGCATGGCTTGAGACAACTTTCTACCCACCATGTTCATAATAGTCCTTCCAGACTTATTTGTAACAATATTTTATGGAAAAATCGAGTGACACTTAAACATGTTCACTTTAAAAAGAAAATTTAATCCCTTGCTCCTTGAATCATTCTTATGTTTTTTTTTTTTTGGGCCACGGATCACCTTTTCTAGATGTGTCACCCGTTATTATTAATGAAAGTGAATTTAACGTTAAGACCATATTAAAGGCTTATAAAATAAATTTATATATTGGCCGACAAAAGATATTATAAATGCGAGTGTTAAATTTTTGTTTTTATGCAAGAATAATTATTTGGCTTTAGTTCACAACACAAGTTAAGAGTACTTTAGACTTGTCAAGATTACTCCCCTCCCTTCTCTACTCACACACAGAGAAGTACTATATTCCGCTAGAAAGTTAGTTTTAAAAAAATGAAATAGAGAATACTGTATAATAACGTGGAATGTCTAAAATTTATTATTCACTACTAAGTTCAATATCATTTCCAGAAATCATTACTCTAATTTCAGTTGAGATGTGGGTAAGTGAGTTGCCTATTAAATTTGTTAGAAATGCTCACCTCTCTAATATGCTATACTTTTCTTACATATAAGAACTAGTTGACTAATTAACACATATTAAGAAAATTAGGTAAATTAGTTTTTAAAATGAATATGTTTAAGTAGGTAAATTATTTATTTATAAAAACTATGTGCATTTGAATAAATTACATAAATGTTCTATGCATTTGGAAAATAAAGCAAAATTTATTACCCAAATTTCAAGGCTTCATTTTCTTTTTTTATCACTTCCCATTTGAAATACAAACAAAAATAATTCAACACCATCAAAATAACGTTAGAGAATCCTGATAATTTTTTATGCTTCGAAGCTCACTTGCAGGATGTTTTTTTAATTGCTATGTTG